TAAATCAAACGAATGCACAAATTTACTTTTGAGATGTCTCCTGTTATGACCAAAAGAGAACATCCGAATGTGTTGCCAAAATGCAAAGTATTCAAAAGAGAACAATAAGTTGCTCTTGTCTTCTCAAATGGCTTGGCATCACCATTAGCATAAAGGATGTGAAAAACAGGGCATTTTTAAAAATTGTACGGTGAGTGAAATTATTGACTTTACTATTCCTTTTCTTTCATATTATGGTCAGAATAAAATTTATGCTTAGAATAGAGATACCATTAAAATTGCTTTATATTTTAACTAGAGATGAAAGCTATTTGAGGATGGAGAATTAAGCAGTACTTTTTACGTGCCCAAAATTAATCCCAAAACAGGTCTTAATTTCCAGTCTACAATTCTAGAAGCCAAGGTGACTTCTGATTAGGAATACATGTTGACATTTCAATGGGCTCAGAAGAAACAGAAGAGATCTCTATTTTTCTAATGTGTATATAAAACAGAAACATTTTGGAAGAAAAAAGTCCTCAATTGACTACTACCATGCCAAGAAGTGAAATGGATCTTTCCAACAGTTGTACAAGAGAAGTGATTTTCCCCAAGAGTCTTGTGGCGATGCCCTAGTCTGTTTATGCTGCAGTGAGGAAATGTGCACAGCCAGCTAATTTAGGACACGCTCAAGGCCCCTTTCAGTGGGAAGACAGCACGCTGCTGGCCAGGACAAGAAGATGTAGAGGAACTCAACAATTCCAGTGCTCAACCTGCCCTGGGGCTCAAGGAGAAATGCTAGTGTTCATTCTGCTTTTCTCCTCAAGCATTCTGATTTATGTCTTATTCTCCAACAAGCTTAGGTACCATTTCTGTGCAAAGTCATTGTGAATACAGAAAAAGTCATTGACTTCTACAGTAAAAGAGTGAAGACTGGAATAGCAACAGAGTAGAGCATGGGGATGCACACATATATTCATTCTTTGAAATGTATTTACATGTCCATGCATATTTCATTAATGTATTTTTGTTTATGTGATATCTCATGCATTTCAAATTCTGAATTAAAAGTAAGCTCCAGTAAATTTAAAATGAATATGCTTTAAGTTTTGTTAAAATATTTAAAATAAAAATATAAAATTTGCATATTTTATTTAAAGCTGTAATTATTTTATTATAATTAACATTAATTTAATAAAAAGCTTGGCAATTATAGACCATACCTTAGTTTTCAAATAAGCAAACAGAGTAAGAAAGAGAAAGGCAGAAATTTGGAGCAAGAATGATTTCTGCCCAATGGTATTCATAGAAACTCCACTTTTCTGTTACCAAAAAGTGCATAGAATCACAATAATCATTGATATGTAAGGCAGTAATTCTTAAAGGTTAGGATCCATACAAATCATTTAATCACCTGATTAATTTGATAAACTCCTCTCCAATAAAAATACCATATGCAAACCTATGAAAATGATGAAGTTAATCCCTTCCTAAAATCTACTCCCAGCCCTTCACTAAAGCGGGAAGGAATCATGCTCAAATAAAAGATATTGCTCAATATCTAATATATAATAAATGAACAGCAAGTGCTTTTGAACAAACTTGGAGTCAGGAGACTTAGACCAGCACTGTGTACTTGTACGTAAGTCACTTTCAATCTGGGCTGGGCTTCTTTACTCAAATTGCCTTCCGAAGTCTCTTCCTGCTAGGGACTATGGCCCCTAATGGTAGTCAGGGCTGCTTAGGGAGGCTGAGACAGGAGGGCAATGTAATGAGACTGTTTCCTAATTACAAAAAAATAAAAAGCACTAGGGGTGGAGCTCAGCACTTTTCTAATGTGCATGGGATCCTGGGTTTAAACACCAACATTGAAAAAAAAGAAACTTGTATTTTTAGTGATTCTCATTATTTATAGAATCACATAGTTTTTTTTTCAGGCAAAATATGTTCATTAAATTTTAATTTGTTATAAATTCTAATAATAAAATGTGGTGTTTTTAAGAAACTCTGTATCTACTTTGTTATTAGTGAATAATGCAAAATAAGTGAGATCAGATGCCAAATTGTGTTTTAAGCATGGAAGCAACAGGATTGAAAACTTGGCTTGAATTGGCAAGGCAATGAACTTTCTCTTTTTTTGTTCTTTTGCTTTTTTCTTTACCTACAGAACACTCCTCCTATCAGCCGTTGTGTTAAGTGAGTACGGTGAATCACAAGAATATAAGGAATCTTAGAAAAGAAACTTGCATCCCAAGTAACTGTCCATTCTAAATTTAAAAATTGTCATATTTTCATACAGAAAATACTTACATTTTTTGTTATATTTACTAAGGGAATTTCCTTGCATGACATCAATCCTATTTCTGGATATGCATTTTTGGACTATATCTTTTGGTGCATTAAAATATTTCTAAAAGACAATGTGTCAGTCACCTTAATGGAACTTGCAAAAAATTGTCTTAGTAAATCAAAGGAGTCAGAAAATACAGAACTCTGGCAGGTACAAGCCCCAGGATCTCTGGGACTCTTGTAGCTTATGTGGACCTTGGTATAGGGCCCATGAAAAGGAAACAATACTGCCTGCCCCACCTCACAGACTTCTTTTGAGGCACAAATGAATGTGTTCTGAATATCTTGAAACTTCGGATGTCATGTATGAAAATAAAATCTGCCACCCGTTTAAACTTGTCATGCAGAGTGCCCACATGTTGATGTCACATTTCACCTAGCTAGAGATAAGCTGATGCATAAGAATGACAATTAAATGTATTTTGCGCATTAAAACCTTAGTTTAATATATGGATGAAATAAGTACAAATTAAGGAGATATAGAAAAATTCTCTTCTATCACATAAGAACTTAAAAGCTGAGGCATGATAGCTTTATAAAATTTCCTCATAACTTATTTAAATTATCAGGAAATAACCTGACATTCACTAGTATCCATATATGGAATTCACATACAACAACATCCTGGTTTTTGGAAACCGATGACATTGTGGATACAAAATCAATTCCACATGGGGTCTAGAGGAGATGTCATTCATGACAAGACATTTTGATGTCTAAGCTTCCAAAAAAATGGGCCGTGAAATCACCATAGATTCCACAATATATACACAAAAGTTTTGATACACTAGCATAAACATAAACCATAAGGATAATTATCTCAGGAATAAGTACAAAGTCCTATGAATGCATTTTATGTTAGACCCACAAAATCTAACAAGGCAATTTTATAAAACATAAGTAAATAAATACAAGACAAGCTGATGGCTTCTGCTAATAAATTTGCCTTTCAAGTAGATCTGTTGGTGGTCAGGAGTAAGAATCAAAATTCTCAGTTTTTTCCTTAGGAAATAGATGTCACCCAATGGATATCTTCCCCACCGACTCATAAGGGTTGTGGTGAGAATCAAATGGACTATTGCACATCACAGTACTGGCTAAACTATCAAAAGCTCTGAGGCTCACAAAACTCTACAGTGGCACCATGGTGAGAATTTCATACTGAAAGACCCTGAAGGGACTCAGAATTTTCTCCTGCACTTGTTCCTGCTTGTTCTCCTCCACATAGTGAGTCACAGAGCCCAGACACTGTGCTCCCCACAGACAGCCATGACAAACACCTACAGAGAACACCCTACCCTTCGTTCCTCTGGAGAGGAGCTGGCCCTGAAGAAATTCCATGACCTATTTGATTGACAGTAAGTAGATCATAAGGTTTGCATTCCAAGGGGTCTGACCCTACATTCAGCAGGAAGTGATGCGCCAGGAGAAAGACAAGAAAAATCTGGACACACAGGTCTTGCTGCCTCGTTTGTCGAGTCATTGAGGTTTTCAACAAATTTTGACTTAAATAACTTCTGAAAGTTGATAAATAATAAATCTATTCAGCTGGTATACTACAAAAATAAACATTTTAGCATCATCAGATGGTCTAATTCTATTTCCCTATTTTATTTTTCTAAAACTCTTGGAGAAATAAAATTTAAAGGATACAAAATGCCTCATATGATCATCTCTCTTGTGTAAGACTAATAACTGCACATTTGACTAGGCCTAAAGAAACTATCTGTATTAGTTATTTTTTTTCCTTGCTGGGATAAATTACTACAAATTTAGTGGCTTAAACCAGCATAACTTTATTCTCCTACTATCTCCAGCACCGGAAGTCTGAAGTGAATTTTATGGGACTAGAATCCCAGGTCAGCATGCCTGGTTCCTCTTGGAGACCTGAGGAGAATCATTTCTGTTATTTTTTCATCAGCACTTCCTTGATCCCATAGACTTTGTCTCATCTTCTTATCTCACTCTTAAGAGTAATCATATAGGTAAATAAATACCCACCAAACATACCCATTGACAGGTACATAAATATTTACCCATATAGGAAAACAAATACTCAGGATAATAATCTTCCCATCGCAAGATCTTTAACTTAATCACATCTGCAGTTTCTTTTCTCGTGTAAGATAATATTCGTAGGTTCCAGAAATTAGGAACTGAGTATCTTTGGAGGTTCCTTCTATCACGTGTAGAGGTTGGGTCAGATTGCCAGTTATTTGGAGGTTTTGATGAATAGTCTTGTACAGGAAAATATCAATAACCAAAATCAATCAATACTCATTTATAATATTCAATCACTCTTAAAGACCTCTGAAACTCAATACTATAAATCACCAGTGAACCTGCCCTTTAGAAATCTCCTTAATATCTGCTCTGCATGTATGCAATTCTTCCAAAAGATAATATTCCTCAATACTGAATTAAAGTGACTGTGGTGACAAAAGGAACTAAACACTTAGTGAAAATGCCTGGCTCTAGTAAGCAATGTACCTAGGAAATTCTAATTATATTTCACTTTATTAAGTAGGCAACAAAACGGAAGTATGTTCAATATGGTTAATGGCAATTTGATTCATGGCAAAGTCTGAAAATTTAATTTAAGCTAAATGATATTTTTGATGGTTTAGGTGTTATTTTAGCAAGTTGGAGCAGAATGAGAGAAAGTTGCTCACCTTAAATAGTAAATCCTTCTTCCCGTAACGAAGTTCCTTCAGCTGGGCTTGGATTTTTTTTGACTGTAAAAGCAGAAACATGGATTAGTGCCTAAATTCACTTATATTTTCAAACTTTAAGATCAAAATTCTTCAGCGTCCACCAGTATAAATTTACAGTCTAGAAGACAGAATATGACTAGTTGGGAAATAAATCAGAAAATCTTAAATGCTGATTTGTACATGAAACATCCAACTATTTGCCGGATAATGAGAAAACCAAAGACTGTTTAAATGTCGTATTTCTAAATACATTATTTAGAGGAATTTGCTTTTTATTCTTTCCCCACTATAATTGAAACAGACAATTTTTCTGTCTCCCCGACATGGCCTATAGCTTAATTTCAGATGTTAAAAATATCAGTGTGTATGTATGCCTCAGTTGTCACTGGCTATATTTTTTATTATTACATTAAAATATTGATCAATAAATAAGTACATAAATATTAAATTGATGACCAAGTTTGAGCCACCTTATGTCCAACAAGGAAGGCAATAAACAAATAAAATTGGACATATAGTGTGCTGTAATTCTGAATGAATGGTGCTTTCATATGAAAAGAATGCACTTATTAAGGATGTGAGGGCAGTGCAGTTTTCTGAGGTGCTCCTTACATATTATGGATATTTACTCTTAAAGGTATTATAATGGACTTTTTAAGAATGTCATTGCCAGTTGAAAAAGTGCTTTACAAAGAAGTCTCTGCAGCAGCTGTATGTGACTACCACAATGAATTACATTCTCTACAGCCACAGGCAGGAGTGTGTGCTCCGGACTTACCAGGGGATACTTGGCTTCCAGCTTTCTAACATAAGGATATCAGGGCACTGTACTATGCTATTTCTACACAACACACACACACACACACACATCCTGAAGAAATAAGTAACAATTGAAATTATAGCTGGTGGTCACTTCTTCAGCACATACAATAAAATCAGAACAATACAGAGAAGATCGGAGCAGCCCCTCCACACCACGTTGGCTGGAAATCTGTGAAGAGTTCAGTATTTTCCAGGGACCATGTTCGTTGTGTTAATAACGATCATCTCCTTAGTGTCTAGCACAAAGTAGGCACATAGTACGTGTTTTTTCATTGACACACAAATTGGAAACAACTTCGACGGGAGTGTAAAACGGTTCAATCACTTTAGCAAACAGTTGGACAGTTTCTCAAGCAGTTAAATGTAAACAAATGCACTGCAGTCTTTCCAAGGTGTTCAAATCAGGTAAATGACATTGTACACAAAAATGTTGATGGCATTGTTATTCAAAATAGCTAAAAGTTGGAAATAACCCAATGGTCCATTAAATGGTGGCAGACAGATTGTAGTACACTCATGAAGTAAAATATTAGAATAACATAGAACAACTTGAAAAGAAAAACAAGTATGGAACCATGTAAAATTACAAATGGATTTCATCATAATATGTCTGCATTTTGAACAATCTCATCCATATGGTATTCTAGGAAGGTCATTTTAAAAGAGGCAAAAACCAGGGCTGGGGAGTTCAAGACTCCTGTAAAACAACTAAAAGAAATTATTTAGATTGTGGAAACCTGCATCTTGAATGTGTGTATGTTTCAAACCCACAAACTATATGTTTAAAGAAGATGAAGAGTTGGGCCAGGGATTTAGCTCAGTGGTGCCACCACCTGCCTCACAAGCGCAAGGTCTGGAGTTCAATCCCCAGTACCAAATAAAAAAAAAAAAAGAAGAAGATGAAGTGTACTGTAAATACTATATATCTTAATAAAATTCAATTTAAAAAGTATCTGGTCATTGAAGCTAATAAACACAGCCATTAAAGAAGGTATCACCAGATTATTGAAATATTTTAATTTTCTAAGCATAGATAGCATGTACATGAGTTTTCCACTGGAGAACTTTCAAATGTACTGTGATTCAATTTCCAATAATCTTTAGAGTATTTTCTATCATGTCAAATGGGAGGCTATGTAAGGACACGGTGATAATTCTTAAGTTATTACCCAATGCTGTAAGCAGCTGCTTCAGCAGAGATGGGAATGTAATGAACAATGCACCAATACTAATTTCTAATACTGGAAACACATTTTTAAACAAGGATCTCTATTGGGTATCACCTATATTTTGTGATATATTTAATCAAGAAATGCATTAGACAGATATAAAAAAGAAAACAAAAGAAAGAAAGAAGAAGGAAAAGCAGGAAGAAAAAAAGGAAAAGGGAGAAAGAAGGAAGAAGGGGAAGAAAGGAAGGAAGGGAGAGAGGGAGAGAGGGAGGGAGGGAGAGAGGGAAGAAAAGGAAAGGAAGGAATGAGTTCAAATTTTGTAAACGATTCTGTATTACAATTAAATTCTAAACACAAAAGCAACACGAATTTGTGCTCTCCTACAAAAGAATGTTTTCTCATTTACATAAAAAGTCATTCTCTTTTTCACACAAAAAGTCATTCTCTTTTTCTTGCAAGGGTTAATGATGCAAAATTACTCATAGTTAAGAAAGCGTAAAGGCCACCATTGTCCAATTATGACTGGTAATGGCTCTTAAGGATGAAAACTCACTTAAGCACTGAGTTCCTTTAAATTCCTATTTTTGACCTCAGAATTAACATTTATTACAACTCTGACATCTTTGCATTTCCCAAGTGACTCACAGTCATATTTCAGACACAAACCCTGTGTCTCCTGTTAACATTCTCTCTCTCTCTCTCTCTCTCTCTCTCTCTCTCCCTCTTTCTTTTTGGTACCAGGGATGGAACTCGGGACCTTGTGCTTGTGAGGCCGGTGGTGGAACCACTGAGCTACATCCCCAGCTCCTGTTAACTTTCTCAAATTATCCTGATTTGGGTACCATATCATTTTGTGCTACTCATGTCAGCAGGGGAGGATTTCTGCCACCTTTCACAATTTTGAATAGAAAGTCCATTGGCATTTTAGTCTTGCTGATAATGCCTGGTGTCCAGGACTCACTCACTGCTAAGCCTGTCAGCTTTTGCAAAAGAAATCAACTTTTTTTTTTCAAGCAGTATTGACAGCTATCAAGAAGAATGGAGATTACTGCTTCTTGGGACATGCATGAGTCAGCCAATGCCACTTACTGCCTTCCATGGTACTCTTCTTTTTTCTGGTGTCAGAAATAACAAATTTTAATCATTTGGCAGATGCACATTTACACTGAATGCACAGAATATAATTTAAAGTTTTTTCCTTAACTTGTAATCATTATTATGCAGTGATTCATTTGGGAGTGACAATAAAAACAAAATGCTTAGTTTTTTATTCTTTTCCTGCATTTAGTGGCTATGATCTGATAGATGGTGAATCTCTTGAGCTTTGTTAGAATGGTGTAAAACTAACTTTTCAAAGTTGTTCTTACAGTCTGTTGTGTCTTCCACATTGCATCTTCCAGCACTCTTCTAATTTTCAGTGAGTTAATGAGCAAAATCTGTTCTGGGAATTTGATCTAAAATGACAGAAAGAATCAATACTTTCTGACTGAGGTCAGCTGTAATGTTCATTGCTTTGAAAAGCACTTGCCATGCTGACTATCTGCTTGTGGGCAACATTTTCAAAAGCTGATGTCATCCAATGGATAATTTTCAAAAAATCAAGGTGTTGCTATGTTTGGAATCTCAATACTATTTTTGCTACGTAATAATTTTAGGTACAGTTCTAAATGTTGGTGCAAGTAAGACATGAAGATTTCCAGTCCACAACACAATGAAAGTTGTAAGTCATGGTGACGATAGTTGGGAGAAGATAAATACAATGAAGAAATAGGCAAGCATGACCGACTGGCCCCTTTCTGAGGTTTCATCTGAGATTATTTTCTACAATTGCACCTTCAAATACCATTTCTTCTGTGCACTAGTAGTGATGATGATGATGATGATGATGAAAAATGTTGTTTGCAGTAGCTGCCCTTGTTAATGTTCTGACATGGCGAATTAAACATATCTACCTCAGGGCCGGGAATTTAGCTCAGTGGTTCCGCTGCCTCCCTCACAAGCACAAGGACCTGAGTTCGATCCCCGGTACCAAAAAAAAAAAGAAAAATCTACTTCTGTATGAATCCTAAAAGTTTATGGTTACTTATCTAGAAGACAAGCTTCTTTTCAGCATCTCAACTAGAGAAAAACATTAATGTTTTGCTTTTGGTAATGACATGAATCCAATGATTCCCTTTATCATTGCATTATATTGAAATTTTCTTGTAAGGGATTAAATATATCCCCACCCCACTACTCAATATGGTGAGCTCGACATGCACTGCATGAATTATGAATACTGTAGGGCAAATGGATAAATTGTTAGGAACTCATTACCTTTCAACCATCAGACAATGCTAACATGAAGTGTAGATAATGCATACATAATAATTTTGAAATAATATACTTTCTGAGCTATTGAGATAAAGAAAAAGTAGGAATCAGTCCTGAACTAAGAGCCGACATAGTAAAGACCAGTCCAATTTTTTCCTACATGTTACCAACACTTTATCCCAGGAGCACACCTCTCTCAAGCCGAGTCAATCCTGAGAACATCCTTCTCAGAATACAGCTTCTGTCTAGATATTGCTTATCCAAAACATCACTGTCCTTGCTTCCGCCTGTGTAAGTCATATTCTGAACCTTCACGGATTACATTTGTTCTATTTCTAGGGCCTTAGTAAATATAAACAATGTCAAGTCTATTTCCACCCAAATGCAAAAGTGCAAGGAAATGAAATGAAGCTCTGCTCAATCAAATCTACAAACCATTAAGTCTAACTTTTCATCTCATGGAGCATCAACTTTCAGTTCCTAGGTATTGAAACTTTCTATTCATTTTGTCTATAATTTTTGTAAAGATATTATAAAAAGGATTATATTGCATGTCAGACTTAAATTGTAGTGGTAGTGATATCGACTTTTTTTTGCTTATGAAAGAGTATTCTCCTGATTGAATAAAAGGAATTCAAGTCGGAGCTGAGCATTTGCCCACTATTGCAAGGCTGTAATGTTTTTCAGCCTCCTTCACCTTGGTTGACCTTGTGACCTCGTTCTTGCTAAATGAAGACACTGCTTCCTCCTTGGAGCACTAAAGAGCCAGGCTTGTGCTCCCCAGGTCCCCTGGTCTTTAACTCCTGCAGGAAGATGAGGATGCCAGGAGAGGGGGTTTCAGAGAGGGATGGTGGGGTATTCAGGGCCACAGCTCTGTTGGAACGCTCTCAGCTGCACCTCCCTACGAGCAGGGGAAGGGGCCATTCTCTCTCACTCCCCTCCCACCACGAAGTCTTCATCACCAAGTGAAAAGCTTCCCCTGCCGCTGCTCATCCATCACAGGCTTCACCAGAACGAAGTTCACACACGTCTTACCCATCTCTTTTTGCTTCTTGGAGAAGCCAACTAACACGGGGGCTCTTGTCTCCTTTCTTTTGAGGAATCAAAAACCCACTTTTGATGATAGCAATACTATTTCATTTCTGTCAGGAAGCATTGCTTAGTATGATCTACGTGTTACCAATGAACGCAACACCGGAGATTGACTCCAAGGTGAGGAATATAGGAGATCGGTTTTTAGTTAAATCTATATTAAGTAGAATGATTTCTTTTTCCTCTCTGAGAAATGCATGAGACAATTTTGGTGCACAGCAAATGAAACCAATGACTGTTTCATAAACTACAAGATCAATCCTCAAATATTCATTCGGACAGCCAATCAATATGACAAGACACGGACGTTACACAGATGGTGCGGGAACAACAAAAAGGAAAATGTGAACGAGCACATACTAAGGAAACTCTGAAAATGCAGAGGTACCTCGGTTCACAAAATTAATTTGTTCAAAGAATTTCGCTGTGAAACGAATCAGATTCCCCCATAAGTGTCAGTGTCACCTAATTCGGAACTCGGTAAAGGAGACAAAATTTTGCCGAATGCTTCTGTTCAGGACCAAATTGTCCCCAAAGAGAAGCATTGGTAAATCCAAGTATCACTGTCTAGTTAAGGCTGGGATGTCGTCCAGAACTGCACCTCATGAAAGCGCCCCTTACGGGCTTATTTTTGTCCTTTAGATGTACAGTGTTAAAACATTCATGTGCATTCAAATATGTAAAATCTTTTTTATACTCTTTCTCTAAACTGTGCATTTGTTTTAGAAAAAAAATTACCAGATGTCTAGATTAAAAGATCAAAATACAATCTGAGATGGATATTGTAGTCATTCAGCCAGAGGTAGAAGAGAGAATGTACTCACCTCTTCTGCATGAATCCCACAGAGCTTGCTTCCAGATAAGAGTTTGTTTTTCAAGCTTTTGTTCTGAGAAAAGAAGTGGTAAAGTATTAAGAATTTACTTAAATAACTCAGCAATATTATGTTAAATTTGCTTCAGAAATTAGATATGTTAGAGATTAGATTTTTCTTGATGCCAAGTATAATGAATTTGTAAAAAGCTGTACTAAGTTTATACTGTAAAGCAGTTTTCTTTTTATTTGCTAAAAATTTCATGAATTAGCATTAACACTTTGGTTTCAAAGGATAAAACTTAGCCTTACAGTTAACCTGTATTTATTATATTTCTATAAGTGATTTTATGAAATAATTTGGACTCAAATCAGCAATGCTACTGGTTTCTGAAAGAACTCCTGCACTGTAGACATTTATTCTGTGTAGGATCATTTTGTCCTGCCTTATAATACAGCAGCAAATCCATAGGGAAAATAAACAACCTGTTTGAAGGCTGTACATTGAGTCTCCTTACATTCCCTACACCTGACACTGTGCTCTAAAAGCTCCCTCATGTTCCGAGGACTTCTGACTCCAAGCCTCAGAACTGTGCTCTTTCTGCTGAGTGTAAGGACAGACTTTTGAATCTCCTGTACTTGACGTAGGTTCACAGATAAATATTTGTTCCTTGAACACTTCCCAGCCCTCTGAGCCTAACTCACAGACTTTTGTTCCAGGCTTAGGATTGGAACCCAGGGCCAGAGCACACCAGGCAAGGGCTCCAGCCCTGAGCTACACACACGTCCACCCCAGTCACTCAGAAATATTTTTACCTGCATCATTACACACAGAATTTTCTGTCTTTTGCATCAATAATTGTGGAAATAATTCTGGGCAGCATGATGGAGAACAGAGAACTTGGTAAAACACACAGAATATAGAGCCATGCTTTCTCTACAGGAATGAACTATGAACTGGTATGGTACTTTTCATACAGAAAGAGGGTAGGGGCCCGATGTAACAGCATGAGCAAACTGAACTTGAATGGAGACAGAATAGATAGATGAATAAGTTTCTCAAATTTAAGATTCTTTACAACAATTCTCACATAATTTTGAGCACCATTTGGTACTGTTTTCTGCCATACTGTCTGGGGGTACAGCTGTCCTAGGCTGAAAGAATATTTTGTCTGCCTTTTCCTCAGTAGCTGTGTTGAGATTCTTGAAAACTTAATTAGAATTTCAGTACTGTGAAATGTTTTAAACAAATGAGGAGATACTTGTCTTTATTTATTCAAGCAATGATTTTTTGAAGATATTTATACCCGGCATACAATAAGGGATAATCTAGCATACATCATTCCCACATTTAATGGCATGTATATTATGATGAGGAGCTATCTAGTGACATATTTTAACTCTGCAGTGTTATTCAAATAGTAGAATACAATGTCCTTTAATTTGGATAAGCAAAGTACATGTGATAAGAGAACTCATACCCATACAAAACACCCAGTCATAAACACCTGAGTAGCTTCATTAGAAATAAGAAATTCTTATACATAAGTGAAGTTTAATAACATATCTAAATATTGGCCTATGTAGTCTACACTACTTAAAATATGCATCTCACTCTTAAAACTATTTTATTTTTTCTTTCTTTCTTCTCCTTCCTTCCCTCCCTTTCCTCTCCTTGCTTTTCCTTCCTCTGCCTTTCATTTCCCCTTCCTCCCCTCTTTCCTTCCTTTCTCTGTTGTTGCTATCATTTTTCTATCATTCCTTCCTCTTTTCTCTTTCTTTCTCCTTTTGTTTTTTCATTTATTAGAGCTGCTATGGGGAAATTCTGAATATTGATGATAATGAAGACTTATGTACACTAACTTCAACCCTTTGAACATGATACAATTAGATATTTTTTCTGAGAAGAAAACATTAATTTTAAGTGAAATTGACTATACAGCCACAGTTTATAACATACTGTTTGTTCTACTGACCCTTTACTTAGCTTATCTGATTCAGTTCCCAAAATAGATGATTACTTAATTCTTTGGAATAATTTTTTCATGGATCAAGATGTGTCCCCAAATTAACAGAGTGATAAGCAGTGAGGACCATTTCACACCAGCAGGTAGAAGGTTTACCCTGCTTTCCTCTAAAGATTCAGGTTTGATGTTGTGACAATATGGGCTGAGAAAAGATAAAAAGATTTACATTCTGGAGACTGGTTGGAGTCTTCATGGAAATATTGTGCATGGTATAAACTGTTTTCTGACACTTCTTTGAGAAGAGATTACTTTGAACCAATGATTTTATCACTTTACTACAGATTCATAGATAAACTATAAGCATTCACTCATATTTAATGTTTCTAAGGAAAGCCAAAGTCAGTCACAGCAACATTCTTATGGATTTTGTTTTACCATTTTACTTTTTATAACATTACAGAGACAATTATTCTTACTGTTGTGAAAATGATTAAAAAAGGAAAGCCTTCATTTAGAACTTTTGCAAGACTCATGAAATAAGCATAGAACTTCTGTAGTCCTGGCTTTCTGCCTAGACACAATTTATGAACTATGATCCAGGGGGTAAAGCAAAAGAACATGAAAGTTAAGAAGAAAGAGTTGGATATTGGAAGGAGCTGCTCAGAGGGAATCTGTGTGAGGCAGCATCAGAAGCCTGGGACTGGTGCATTACAAGAATTTCTGATGATTTTCTGGGGCCCCCTTGTGTCATTGTGAGAATGGAAATCCACATCTGCGCACACCGTGGCATGCCACGTCCTGACAAGTACCACCCTGAAAGAACCTCAGGGAAAACACTGCTCTGCTCACAGGGACATTTAATTGCCAACATCTCAGAATAAAAGGACTTAGATAACTAGAATGTTTAATAAAAACCCAGGAAGAGTTGTCTTACAATTAATTAGGACTGGAATAGCTCTATTGTTCAGACTCCTCCAAGCAACCCTGCAAGGTTTAAAAATAAGATTCAGAAAAACAAACTTGAATAAGTACTGTCTACCAAAATAAGACTTAAATATGCTTAGAAGTTAATAAAATTCAGATGCTAGAAGTGTTATGTTCACAATTCAGCATTCACTCAAAATTATCAGACATAGGCGGAGGCAGGAAAATAAGACTGCCAATACAGAGATTTCAAAAAAGGTCAGTAGAAACAGAAATCCTTTTGCAAAGATAGTGAACATCATTTAAAGATAGTTGTATTATATTATACCATATTGTAGGTGTTCTATGAAAGGGTTTGGGTTGAAAATCTAAAATATGCAAATAGAAACACTTTATTCTGAAATTTGAAATCTTGAAAGATCTAAATTTCTGAAGTCTAAGATCTCAAAAGATAAAACCCTCAAAAATATAATTCTGGAACAGATTTAAAATTATTTTACAGACATTTATTTACATTTTAAAAGGGATTCATAGGTAAAAAAAAAAAAACAACACAGCGCAAGTATTGGCCAGTTTACACAGTATAATAGAAACTAATTGCCACACATTTTTGCAAACAATCAGGTGTTCTAAAACACTTTTAGTCAGATGAATGATATTCACAAAGAAGTGGGTCAGATACCAAGTTGTATAAATACATACGACTATGGTTTGAAGCTGAGTGCACCCAGCTTTACACGTGAGCTGCACTCACATGAAACAGTATAACAGGAATCCTAAGTCTTCTAAGGACCTTGATCCACACCTTCTCGGGGTCACCACTGGATGTGCAATCACCCAAGAGCTGAGATCAGGATCAATTTTATATTTTACAAAGGAAGATTTATAAAAAGCAGATGTCTTTCCTTATTGAGGATGCTTCCACATTTGTCCATGCATGCATCATGTAACACACAAAGCCAGCACAGATAAAGTTAATTAGACTTCTCTAAAAACCTTCACAGGATTTATGCATCTTCTTTTGTAATGGGCCTCCACCAACTGGAAGGCACTTCATTACATGACTCACTAACTCACTCCTTGGGCCCACACCCACAGGCAAGCCCAAAGTAAGGCTTCACCAAGATATGGGATATTTGATTGGCCTAATGTAATGCAAACATCTTGGACACAACCAGAATGCAAGAATCCTTTACCAGAATTTGGGTTTCTGCCTCTTTTATGTCCCCCCCACACAAACACATACCACAGGAATTGAGGTTTTTGGAATTTCAGCTTTCAAAAATTCATCATTTGGGATTTGAAATTTTTGAAATTGTATTTTTTTTATTTTCAACTTTGAGAATTTTGATCTTTCAGAAATTTAACTTTTGAGAAAATGGAATTTTGTATTGTGTATTGATTATCACTGACATTAGGATGAAAGGCAGTTCCAGTTTCAGCACTGACATAGAGTTTTTAAGCCTCTCCATCTTTTATATCTTTGCTGATATTTTCCTCTTTCTTCTTCGATTAGTTGAGGGTCATATTAAAATTTCCAAAAGTGGGAGTGAATGTGTCTATTCCTCCCTCCAGTTCTCTTAGTTAGTACTTCATGTGCTTTGAAGGTCTTTTTATGTGCTTATAAGATTGATAATTGCTGTATTTTGTGACGAATTGGCCCTTTTAGTATTACACATTGCTTTATTTTCACAATTTTTTATTTGCTTAGTTTATCTGATACTAGAGATGACAGCATTTTCTTCTGTGGTCTGAATTATAAACATGGGTAAATATGTACCTATGGTTTTTCAATTTTTAGGCTTTAGCACATATTTGATAAGGATTACAGTCCTCATCAGGAGTTTCTACATGTACAAAATACATGTTTTCTATTTTTTCCATCTCCTTACTGTCTCCTTCCTTACATCTTCCTCTATCTCCTGATCCACTTCCATTTTTTGAAAGATCTATTTCCCCTTCCCATGATATACCTTTTTATTTTGGTCTTTATTTATATGTTTGTGTTTCTTTATTCATTGAGTTTATTGGTACATTTTAGGTACATACACATTAAGAGCACATTCATCACTGGGAATTTGTACCTACACGTGGTATATCTTGATTCTTGTTTTTTCCCCTTTCCTCTCTTCCACTCCTCCTCCCCCGCCATTTCCAAAAAAAAAAAAAAAAATAAATTTGTTTC